GCACTTCAAAACAAGTAGTAATCAATTGAATCAAGTACAGGTTAACGTTGTTATATCTAAACAAACAACTAGTTAATATCAAAATATATAAACTAGTAGCAACATATTCGTGGCGCTGCAAAGGTATAATGCGATTCACGGCTTGAGTCGATTCGCGAAGCTATCTAGGATGAAACGATCAAGAAATACATATCCGGTATCGCAAATAAAGTGCAAGTATCGCGGAGGAATAATTGGACACTCAAACACTACCAAGTTTTTCTCAAACCAAGTCCTCAGCTCCCTAGTCTTCGGTATCCTTAGTAATAATACTACTATTAATACTATATGGCAAATAGCTTTTCTCGGAATAAGGACTAACTCGTTCGATAAATTCAGTGTAATCTCTAAGAATTCAAAAGTTGAATCAACTATAGAGGACATTTCACTAACTTATGAAACAGAATTTCATCTTGATGAGATATTCGACTAGTAATCAACAAATGACCAACTCTTACACAAAATGTCATCTTAAATGAACAGTATCAAAAGATGTCTTACTTTCTTTCCAATGAACAGTAAATCATTGAATTCAGTATACAATTCAAGTAATACAAAACAGTAAACAGTTTCTAGATACGTTGAGAAGGAAGAAATCAAATAGACCTTTTCCTACATATCGACTAGAATAATTGTGCCATATCCCGTTGAGATTTAACTAGAAGTGATAAGGTTCAGAGTGTTCCAAAGCAAGTGAGTGATTATTACTTCCTTCAATACGGCTGTAACCAGAATAGTTTCGGATATCACACTGAAATAAGATTCAAATTCAACTCATCAATGGAAACAAGGTATTCGTACGGCATAAATACATTGTTATTTATGACTTGCATCAATTGTGGTAATAGTCCAAGATTAAGAGGTGGATGAAAACCACCAAAGGTTGCGAAAAGTTTCAAGCATCAAAGGATATACAATTAGATCCTGAAATTAGAACATGACTATTAGTTTGTGTTTTGCTGCTTCTTGTGTAAAAATCACAGAATTGATTCTGCTTTTTGTGAGGATCAACCTCAAATTCTTTAAATCATAGGTCTGATATTCTAACCCTGTGAAGCCAGCGAAGCATTGATTTACTTCTTTTCCTTGAATTTCTTTCAACTAACCTTCCTATATTCTTTCATTGAAAAGTATATGCTATGTAAAACATAAATTTTTGTTTTTTATGACAATTCATATGGATAAAGGGAAAACAACCAGTAGGTCGTACTAGGACGAGTTCAATTTCTATTTCCAATAGATCGTTTGTATAGAACTTTGACTGCAATCTAGTTGATTCTTTCTTTGAATTTATATCATTCCGCAGTCTTTGAATACTACTTTGTATCATTTTCATCCCTTTTCTTGTACAATGAGCATTCTATTGTTTTTCGAACATATTACAACTCTAAAGAACAGGATCTTCACCATTCTACAATTAAACCGATAAAGAAGAGAAAAAACGAGATAGAGACATTATCTTATCCTTATCGACTAGATGACTAACTTCATATCAAGCTGGTCTTAGGGTCGAAAAAGTAAGATGGAAATGTTCTGAAGCATAAATAGTCAAAAGGTGTGGTTTCGACATAAGAACAATACAATATATCAAGATAAATTAGTAGCAGATTCTAGATCACAGAAAACAGTATGTTGTACACTTTCATGATGCTGCAAGTTCACTTGTCAAAGATTAATTGATTCAACTGACGAAACTATCTCGAATTGATCACTTGGACTATCAATTGCCCACCCCTCCAAATGCAACACAACTGTCACGGGACAAAGAGATTCTATGTGATTGAGATTTCCAATGAAAAAAGCTTCTGAAAGGTTGTACGTCGACGTTTTCCGAAAGAAATGACGACTAATTGCTTCATCATACTATCATGAGATAACAAACAAGTTCGTTTCAAGGATCAAAAGATAAAGATTAGTCTCAAACATGTACAAGAAAAGTCGAAAATCGACCAGCAAAAGCAACTCGATACTCTATTTGTTGTTCAAAATCAGGACCGTGTGTAGTTCTACTGATAGTAAGGTACAGGAATAGTCGTAAGTGTGCAAATAATGCCTTTTTCTTTTGTAGAGTCAACAATATAATTTTCCTTTATAGTAAAAAATAGGTCAAATTCGTTCTTTATGACAAAAACTATTATTAATATTCCATGTACTACTAACCAATACACTATAACTTTCTCTTGTTGTTGTTGTCTGTTTACAATTCCAAGTAACTAAAACAATGACACTTTTCCGCTCATGCCAACAACGAAGAAAACAGTAAAAGATAGAAGCACAAGTCATTCTCTTTGTAGACTTGATGACTATGCCATACTGCAGTAGGCTCGGGCTCATATTTGTTGCTGTTGCTGTTCTGGTTGAATTTCAAGTAGTGGCGAGTGGTTTGATTTTGCTGCGATAATAGAAAAATGTTTTAGGTTCGTGTCAATGCGCAAACCACTTTGTTCGTCTGCGTATACTTTCTAGGAATTATCTACTAAAAGTTGGACTTTATTTTCAGAGTCAAACCAAAACTCTAGTCGGAAACGATGACATCAATGTTTGCACTCGTGTAACATTGTAGAAGTTCAACCAATCCTTCGTGAGTTTCTTTCAGAGCTACTTTGTATACTATCCAAACGCAAGCTGTTTGCACAAAATGTGAAGTCTCTTTTTCGCTTTTTGACAGCTACAACTACCACTATTTTCAACAGAATGACCTTTAGTGTGTTGGAAAAAAAAACAGATCAGCAGCACTCTTGACACGGCAAGTAATGTTTCACACAAGTCGCCTTGTTTCCCATTCACACCGTACTACTAATGTTACCCTCCTCTTCAACTATATAAGGACCAAAGACGATTTGCAATAGATGCCTTTCAGAAACACTATCGATACTAGTGCCAACTTTATCACTCTTACTACTCACATATCGTTTTAGACATATTTCACCCTCGGTAAAACCAGTAATTCATAAAAACAAAGGCGTCTTTCAAAAACGGACGAGTAACTACAGTCGCCACTGTCAAAACATTTTACCCAAGTAAACACAACCAAGATTTTCAACAGTGTCCTTTTGCTTGCTTTATTTCATGGTTCCCAACAAGTATATTTTGAACTGAAAACTTTTCCCTTGCTTTCAAAATACAAGTTTATTCAGCTTTCGTTATCTAAAGCCCACATCCATAATATTTCAAAATATATACTCGTATCAATAGAGAATTGATATAAACGCTCGACAATACAAACAGCCATTAAAAATATGCAATGATGGACTCGAGACTTTTCTTTGCTATTCTGGAAAAGGAATGAATTTTACAAAGAGTGCGAATATCGTTTGTTTTCACTATAAAACCTGTTGCAGAGTTACAGACCAAGTTTTCCATCTTGAAAGAAGTCACATAAAAGACAAAAACTATCATAAGGAAAGTAACTCTTTATACTGACCAAAACACTCAACTAAGTGTCTAACTGGTTTCTTGGAAAAACATCTTTGAAATATGAAACCAAGACTGATTCTCAACAATCGACTACAAGACTAGACTGTCAACTACTAATAAATACACAAAAATGCTCTGTAACAATTATCAGTAAAAACTGAATCTAAATGAACTTGCGAGACAACTAATTGGGTAATGTAGTGAAACTCAACAACAGCTTAAACTCCTTTGTCTTTGCTCTTTTCTTGACAATACAGCTCACAGATTTCCATACAAGACCAGAAGTGAAATAACAACAAGTCTTGCATAAACTATGTAAAAGTCAAATAGATAGTCAACGTTGTACATATCAAAAAGATACTACAGTCTATCCGGAACTCAGAGCTCAAGACGACTCGATGGATTTTTATAAAGGAATGAACTGCAAGGCTTAAAAAAGAAACGTAGATAATAGAAATCCACTTGTCCAACTAAAACAACAAATGAGTTGGAAATTAAAGTCGGAAAAGTTTCAGAAGTAAACCTAACCAAGTTCAAAGCCTTAACAACACTGGCCCTTTTTAAACTATTGTGTAATTTCCAATTGGACTATGATGAGAAGAATTGCTATGTATTGTCTCATTTCTACTGGAGGTGTAGTATCTTGTAGTGAGTTTTATGAAAGAAAATATTTTACTTGGAGACTTGGAAAAAGCTGCTTTAATAATAAATGTGCTAGATACAACTAATCTCACAGCATAGTAATGTTGTGAAAGGAGAAAAATAGTGTTGTAACAAAGTTCCTGTTCAACTAACTATCGACACTGTACCTTTTCAAAGAGTTGAGTTTGACAAAACTTATTTGTAAGGTGAATTTCAGACTTTCTGTGACCCTATTTCGACTCGATCTCAGAATCTTCCTTTGTTAGCCTCTCAAAAACCTTGGAAAACTGCTTCACAAAGTGTAAAAAGGTCGTTTTCCAGTTTCAGTGGAAATAATTCTGTTGGCTTTCTGTGTAAGAACTATAGCCTTTCTTTCTGTGCAAAATAGGCTCAAGGAATAGTCTTTATGCCACTGTGAACTGCAAAGAAGAAATAATTATATACTCAACCCTAGAGTTGGA